GTATTTACGTTCAGCAACACTGAACAAATAGTTCTCTGAAGATACCTGCTGTTTAAAGCCTTTGGATCTTGGCTCATGCTGTTCCCGGCTGTTCCCTCTGCCTGGAATGCATCACTTCACAAAGAAAACCTTCCCTTACCCGCCCCTCTCAGCAGAGCTAAACGCCCTTCCTCTCTGTTCCCTCTACATATCTGATCTTGCATTTCTCCCATACCTAGCACAAGCCCTTCATCAGCCACATTACAAGGTAAAAGCCACCATAAACTAATCACAGATGGCTTAACAATGGACAAAAAAGGGCAACAGTGATGAAGAAGAGGACTGGAAGTATGGTTTGACAGCCTCTAGCCTTAATGATGAACTTCTCCAAAGGTGTACAGCAGGCCTTTAAAAAGTGGCCACAAATAGGTTAAGGCCACTATGATTTGTATGACATTTAAAACTCTCGCTTCCAGACCATGTTAGTTATAATATTATGTTAACAGATACAAAAATAGCTTTTAAATTATTGATAAATAAATCATCTTAAAAAAAGAAAAAAGAAAGAAAAAAAAGAAAGGAACCAAGAGTTACCTCGCTGCCTCTCCCCCTTGAAGTCCTCAAGCCAGAAGCGAATGAAGAAAAAGATCTAATAATCGTTAAATGACCACTGCAGGCAAAAGACTGAAGCAGAAAGTATTTATCTTGGGGCTCTTTGCCTACTCTTCAGCCATGCCGGCTCTTCCATAAAAAGGCAGAGCCTTTGTGCGTCCTACTGCCTGTCTCCAGGTTCAAACAATCATTACATCTCATGCAAACCACTGCAGTTTCCTCCTTAGCTCCCATCCTGACCCACTCCAGCCCTTTCTACTTGCTCATGCAAATGAATTTTCTGAAAACACAAGTCTGATCCCATTCCACTTTCTTTTGTAATTCTTTAATTAGACATATCATCCTAGCATGCATTATAGTTAAGTGTGCAGGCACCACACCTCCCCCAGTGAACTGTAAACTCATGTGAGGGCCCAAATAATCTTACTCATATTAAGCAATCTTCACTTATTCATTCAAAAAATACATCATGAATACATGTTATGTAGCAGGTACTACACTAACCTCAGCGGTTCTCAACCTGTGGGCTGTGACCCCTTTGGGGGTCGAACAACCCTTTCACAGGGGTCGCCTAAGACCATCGGAAAACACATATATAATTACATATTGTTTTTGTGATTAATCACTATGCTTTAATTATGTTCAATTTGTAACAATGAAATTGGGGGTCACCACAACATGAGGAACTGTATTAAAGGGTCGCGGCATTAGGAAGGTTGAGAACCACTGCTCTAGACAGAAAAGTTAGGTCATTCCGTTCGATTTGTTTAAAATTGTGGGGTGGTAAGGAAGTTGGAAGGGTGTAGCCATATAAACAGAAAATTATAATACATTCTAAATTATTTACATATTATAATATAATTGCAACTAAACCCTTGAGTAGACCAAGAAAGGCTTCTCAGAAAAAGTAATGTATAAACCAATACCTGAAGCAGAAGCAGATGTATATGGGAAACCAGGAACTACAGGCAGTCCACTAAGACTGCAGTCATGGCAAAGGATAAGGCTTGAGAAATATACAGGGACTAGATCATACAAGGGCTTAAGCCACATTAAAGTGTTTGAAGTTTATCTTGAAGGAATTTAATTGTTTTACTAAGATGAGTGATATGATCAGATTTGTACTTTAAAATGACCACTCTAATTAGAGTACAGTCGTCATTCAAAATACTTGTTGAACACATGACTAGTTAAGTGTCATTACCATAGTAAAAAACATTTCAGTTATTCAAAAAGAGAGAGAAAACAGCATATCAATGCTGGCTATTATACCCTGGAAAGGTTTTATGGAGTAGTGGCAAAGGATAACTGGGAGATTAAACATATAGGATTTTGATAGGGCAATTCAAGGGGAAAAAAAAGGATATTCCAGTTGGAAACAGAAAGGGTATAAGGAAGATAATAAGCTAGGAAATGGTTGGTGAATTCACAGAAGAGTAAATAGTTTTTTGGTGAGGTCTAGGTCTGGAGAGGCAGGTAGACTTTTCAGGGTCAACCTTGAGGTGAAGGGCCTCGAATTCCAGGCTCAAGATGAAAGAAGATAGGCATACTCCAAATATTGCCTTAGGAGGATGGAATGTGAATTGAAGGTTTTCACAAACAATGTTCAAGCAAGCAGGTGGCAGGAATGTCAAAAGGAGTAAAAGATGCAGGAGATATGCTGCAAATTATGTATCAAAAGAAAAAAGAAAGTTAAGAGAGAGAAGCAAAGGATGAGGTTGAGTGATGGTGTGAAACAGTTTGCCTCACAGGCCAACCTACCACACCCAGGCCCACTTCTCCAGCACCCCAATAGCCCTCCCTGGGAGATTGATTTATTAAAATCAGTTTAGTGTGATAACTTGGAGGATGAGGATCTTCATTTTTATCAGTCTATTTAACCAGTGTCTACAAGAACTTGGAGGTGAGGTGTATGGAAGAGGAGATGAAGAGAAAAGAGCAGTTGGAGAGTGAGAAAGGAACATCTGCATAAACAAGCCCTGAGGCCATTTTAACTCCCTAAATTCATCACCCAAAGAATGCATTCAGTTGGGGCTTCTCTGTGTATTCTAGGAAATCCCTGGCTTAGATGATTTATACCCCATCACCTCCCATTGAACTAAAAGAGCCACCTCTTCTCACTGTTTGGGCCGCCTCTTCTAAACCTGATCTTTGGACCCTCAGTGGCCATGAAGCAAAACAATAAACTCAATAGTTCTATTGTCACTAGTTTGAACTTAAATCACTTTGATCTCCCAAAGCAACAAGTCAATTTAATAGTACTTAGGAATACTGAAAAAAAATATTAGAAAACCTTCCAAATTGTCTAACAAATCTCCAGAGTACAAGAGTCTATAACCTGAGTTAAGCTCACCTAAGAAATACCACAGCCCTCATCAGGAACAATGTCATTTGTGAACAGGTCCCATAGAAGAGTCAATAAATCCCTGACCCACAGAAATAAATTCTATTTTTTTTCAACCTTTTTTCAAAGTCAGAAAATCAAGTTTCTCACAATAGGCCCATACATTATTTATTCTACTTTGTCACAGGTGAGAAGACTTGAGTTGCATTCTTTCAGGTATGCAGTCTAAATTAATGAGTCTAAATTTTGCTCCAAATTGGATGGTTTCCTGCTGGAACAAATATGAATGTGAACAAACTAATAGATTCTTCTGGAATCTTTCATTTGTCGGCATTTTGTTTGGTGATTGTTGTTTTCATCAGGACTTTTTAGAATGTCGAATTGTTATTTGTCAGGCCTGAGTAAGTGATACATTTTCTTTGGCTTCCCTTTGTTTCCAGATTACGGGCTCCTTCCTGTTCCTTGTTGATGCCCACAGAGGCCATAATGATGGCAAAGGTGCGAATGTGAGAATGAGAAACAAGGTGTCAGCATGCATACGATTTATCTATTGAGGTATCCTACTAACTCGCAACCTGGAAATCACACTACTAATGAACTTAACCAACTTTTAAAAATAATTTAGACATATTTTCCAGTCTTTGCCAAGAGGTGGCTCAGAGGTCTTTTGTCTCTTTATGATTCGTCAACACCTCCACACACTGCGAGACAAGGAGATAATTTAAGTCAAAACAATGTGTGGGCTACAGATAGGCAACTGCAAGGCCCCAAGCTTCTGCCCAAGCATGTGACCACTCCGACTGCTACCTAGAAATCCTTTAGTCAGCTCAGTTGTTTCCCCTACTTGAAGAGACTGCAACGAGGCAGAAAACACTTAGGAAGTTGTTTGCTTTGTTTTCTTTTCCAAATATTAATATAATATGTGGGAATTTCAGTTTTGCTAACATATGTCTGAGACATTAAATCAAATGTTTAATGAAGCCATGCCAGAGCCAGAACTACAGTTTATTCGAAAACATGCATAAGTGAACCACAAAACCCTTCTGGTTCAGAGGGAGGTCACCCTCTGATACACATGGCATCACAAAGTTCTTCTTGAGCAGTGTGTGTTTTAATTGGGGCAAGATATTTCCAACAAAAAGGATGTCTTCCTCTCCATAATGTTCTTAGCAAGGAGTTCACCTGATTAAAGTTTCCCCAACTGTGATCTAAGGTCAGGTACATTAGAAAATGTTAAATTCCCAAGAGTGGAGTATAGTGTGCAGCATTCCCCAAACATCTTGGACCACAAACAGTTTTTGTAGCACAAACATGGGCTAGAAGTGACAAATAATATGGAAAAGACTGCATACTACTATTCCTCGTCCATTCTCCCAGGAACAAGAGCAGAAGGAGAAAAAAAAAATCAAGGCACTGAGTTAACACTTTTTTAAAAAATGGGGAGGATGCAGAAACCACACTGTGCTTTCTTCACAATTTTAAGAAATAATCAAAGAACATGCATTCTGTAAATAACCATCTATACTATCATCGTGCTGAAATTTATTAACAGCTATAATCTTCATTGCTCTCTGTACCATGAGTCTCCTCAGATAAACTAAAGGCCTCGTGTAAACCTACACAGAAAAGGCGGAACTGCATTATATCTCCTCGGCAGTGGTCACCTGCCACGCAGCTGTTAGCGAGGGCAGCATGTGAGCCCCTATCTCTGCTGGGAGGATTTAAGTACGCCGTTTCTATGCTTTAAAAAAAAAAAGCATCTCTTAAGGTGCTTCCCGCCTTAAACTACTTTATAAACTTTTCTAGAAAATCCTATATTCACAAGCGTCTGATTACTCTGCTCAGCTCATCGGCTGCAATGCCTGGCTCCCTCCCTCCCGCCAGCCCGTGAACCCCGGCGAAGGAGCTGGTCTGGTGGAAATCAAGTACCACCAGCCGCCGCTTCGCACTTGAAACAGGTCCCAAATCTTGTCCTCCCGCAGGGTCCCGCAGGGTCCCGCAGGAATAGCGCCGGTGTGTGCAAGGGCCGCGCAGGGGCAGCGCGGAGCGCGGGCCGGCGCCCTACCTGGTTGAAGTGCAGCGGCGCGGGCTGCGGGGCGCCCTCCGCCGGGCCGGCTCCCAGCCGCTGCAGCAGGCGCCCGAGCTGCGCCGCCGACAGGCTCCCGTTCGCGCCGAACACGCTCAGCACATCCTCGCTGAAGGGCGAGGCCCGGGCCCCGCAGCCGCCCCTCGAAGAACCGCTGCCGCCAGGAGCAGGAGCCGGCCACCGCCCCGCCGGGGGCCATCCTGGCCGGGACCGCTCCTCGCCGACCCGCAGCGGACGGGGGCGCACCGGGACCCGCGGGGCGCGCCGGCATCGATGCCCAAGGGCGTGCGGGTCAGGCGTCGGCGCCGATCCGAGTCCGCGGTGGCACCGGGCGCCCGTCGTCCTCCGCCGCCTTCGGAAGAAGAGCAGCCGGCGACCTGCGGGGCATTGAAGTGGCGGTGCGGGGGGTGGGGAGCGATAGGCAGAGCGGCCCCGGTCCTCCTGGAGAGCCTGAGATAAAGAGGACAAAGGGGAAGCAGAGATAAAGGCCCACCGCCCACCCCCCGCCCGGCCCCGGGGGACACTGTGTGGCTGGAGCCCTCGGACGCTCGGCCCGGGCAGGGGGCCAACTGCCCCGGACCCAAGGTTTGCAATCCGCCCGGGGATTTGCTTACAGTGCGGTGACACAGCCCCTTCCGGAGACCGGAGCCCACACCACCCACAGTTCCTAAGAAGGACTGGAACCGCATCGCGGCGGGACCCCACCCTCCCCCTTCCTTTTCTTCGGCCCAAGGCCCTCGGAGCAGACTCAAAAGGGATTGGCCGTGCCGTCCCTTTCGGCGTCCTGGGGTTTGAGCGCCTCCACGGGACCCTCCCTCTCCCAGGTCGCTGCCAGTAGGAAGGACTGGGTTAACCTGCTAACCTCTCGCCTCGCCTGTCTGCCGTTGGTTGCC